GGGGACTGCATCTCCCTGGTGCTGCCTCTCCCCTCCAAGCACAGCCTGGGGACCCACTGGCGAGGCACGTGTTTGCGCCCCATCAGTGGCCGCATTTGGGGGGTGCAAAGGGAGATGCTCCTTATAAGCCACCCCCCGCTGCTGCTGGCCGCGGCTCTGCCCCATTCCTGGCACCATCACAATGTCTGAATGACCGCGGGGCTGGTTTTTGCCCCTCCGTGCCCCCACCCCTATGTCGTTGTGGGGTCCAGCCCCAGGATCCGGCCACGCTGCCCCCCTGGGTGTGCGGCCATTTGGCCTCAGGGCAAAGCCTGGCCTTGTTTACTCCCCAGCTCCGGTTTCGGCGTGCCGGTAGCCGCAGCACGGGCAGGCAGGGCCTCCTGGACAGCCTGTCCCCCAGCTTGTTTACCGCCACCAGCAGCATCCCGATGGCTCAGTCCCGTGTGACAGGTGCTGCTTCCCCGGACACCCGACCCCGCGTAGGGATTTGGCTCCTCGTGACCGGGGAGCGACTTATAAATAGCAGGACGAGGGGTGCCGCCGGCAGCCGAGAGCGGGTGAGAGGAGCACGCCGTCGTGCCGATGGATTTCCAAGCCGGCATCCTGCAGGATGGCAGCCCCATGGAGAGCCTGGAGAAGCAGCTCATCTGCCCCATCTGCCTGGAGATGTTCAGCAAGCCGGTGGTGATCCTGCCCTGCCAGCACAATCTCTGCCGCAAGTGTGCCAACGACGTCTTCCAGGTGAGAGGGGGTCCCTGTGCCCATTCTGCGCCCCCCTCCCCGCCCGGGCTGGTGGTCACCGGGATGCTTGTGGTGCTGTGGGAACGCTCTCAGCGCTGCAGGGATGCTTGCGGTGCTGTGGGGATGCTCACGGACACCCCGATGTGCATCTCCCCCTCCCAGGCAGCCAACCCGTACTGGCAGAGCCGGGGCAGCGTGATTTCAGGGGGACGGTTCCGGTGCCCCTCGTGTCGCCACGAGGTGCTGCTGGACCGTCATGGCGTCTACGGGCTGCAGAGGAACCTGCTGGTGGAGAACATCATCGACATCTACAAGCAGGAGTGCTCCAGGTGGGCACGGGCGGCTTGTGCCTTGCCCCGGCGGGGACATGGGGACGCGGGGACGCGGGGACGCGGGGCTGCCCACCTGCTGAGCCCCAGCACCACCATTGAGACCGCAGGAGATTGCAGCTGGGCGAGAAACTGGGGGGCTTTTCTGCTGGCTCAATGGTCCCCAATCCAAATCTTCCTCCCCTGACCCAAATCTTCCTCCCCTGACCCAAATCTTCCTCCCCTGACC